GTCCCGTCCGTCTGCCTCCAGCTGCGCGGCTGTGCGTTGCCCGCTGTCCTCGGCTTCCCGCTCCGCACACGGGAGGTCGCGCGGCGGCGGAGCCACCCCCAGGGGTGCCAGGGCAGCCTGAAGAGCTGCACTTTGGGGAGAGAAGACAAAAACTTGCCGACTCTTCTGGAAAACAAGGACTCAAGGATCACACAGGACAGTGAATCAGAGAGAACGAAAAGTGAGGGGGGCCAGAAAGCAAAGGCGAGGGTGCGGGAGTCCTGCGGCCCCGCCCCGTGCCCGGGACAGCCTGTGACGCCCCAGCTGCGGGCACTCCCCCACTCCTCCTTGTTCCACGGCGACAGCGAGGGGCCCCGGGGCCGTGCGCCCGTCTCAGTTCCCGTGAGGGCAGGTGCGCGCCCGCCCCCCCCCCCACGTGTACGCGGCACGGAGCACTCAGGAGATGCGCTTCAAATAGTTTATTGTTTACTTGAAGTAAGATTCATGCTGATCTGATACAAAGAAAGCCCGTATTTCCCAGGGAACCGGTCACAAAACTACCCCCTCCTACGACCCAGCGCCAGTCGCGGGGGAACCGCACAGCCAGACGCGGAGTAAACGCTCAGTCCCGCCAACACAGGCACGGCCCGCCGGGGGCCAGGCTGCAAGGACAGACTTTGGAGTCAAACGCCTGGGGCAGTTAAATTAACTGGACAGTAAGCAAAAGTCCCATCCCTCTTGTAATGTGTGGTCACATCCTTTACACCATTTTTTCCTACTCTTGGGCAGAATTTTCTTCCAAAGAATAAATAAGGCACGAAGATCATCAGAAACACCAAAGATCGGGATTCAGAGGGCGCATGGAGCTCACGTAATCCAGCATTTTTATTCTAGAAACACGACTGAGGCATAAGGGGTCGCTTTGCCGGGCCTCGTCCGCACGGCTGCGCTGAGCGCAGCCCCGACGCCTCCAGCACCGGCTCCTGCCCCGCGTGGGCCCCTTTATTAAAACGGGCACTTCTGCCCCTGACGGCCCGGTGAGAGTCGGAGGCGTCGCCACCTGGCAGGGCGTTGTGCTTAAATATAAACGTGCCAAGGGGAAGCCTAGACCAAGGAAACTGCCTGCCGCTCACTGCGACTTTGCTCCTCACCCGCAAGGGGCCGCCGTAAGGAAGCGGAGCGACCGAGGCGGGGGCGGGGAACGGCAGACGCGCAGTTGGGCCCCGTCGGGCCGCCGGCCGCCGCAGCAGGGCTCTGCCCGGCCCAGAGCTGCCCAGCCCCTCGACGTCCCCGCAGCAAAGGCACCGGAGCTGGGAGACACCAGGCTTTCCGTTTCATTCTCTACACACGGTTCCCACAATAAAATGTGCTCCTTTCCTGCCTTCCCTTTGTCTTTAGCCGGTTTCAAAGTATTTTTATGAAGAATTCCTCCAGTTTGTCCTAATCGCCAGACAAGACTGTGGCCAAGGTCGAAATCCTAACCCTGAAAAAGGGGAGGCGCGAGCCCCGATCTCACCACCAGGTGGCACCAGAGGCTCGCGCACCGCCCTCCGCGGGGACGCGGCTCCCGCCGGGAGGCCCTCTGCTCCGTTCCCGGCGCAGCCCGGAAGCCCCGGCCTCGGAGCCCCCGCTCCCCGGATTCGCGGCCACGGGCCGCGCACACACCAACGGCTCCGCTCACATCCAGGGCAAAAGGGGGCCGTTCGGGCAGGAGGCACGGAGCTCGCAGAGGGGACGCGGGTGCTGGGGAAGCGAGTCGGCGGGGGCCGGACAGAACATTCCAGAAGCCTGGGGGTGGGGGATCGACAAGCCGGGCTTGGGCTGAAGGTGACGCGTGGACAGGACGGGAGGGAAGGTCACGGCTGCAGCAACACCAGAGAAACGTGATCCCAACAGATTGAAAGCTTCGCCCACAGGAACTGGAGGGGCCTTCAAGGTCACGAATCCCACGTCCTGAAACAGCGCGAGGCGTGTGCCCTGTGCCGCTGGGTCCCCGACTCCTGGCGCCCCGCACGGGCGACGTGCCGGGCCCTGCACGCACAGCCCCGCTGGGCGCCCGAGGCTCAGCCTGCGGCTCGTCTCTCGGGGCGACGCCGCCCCGCGCTGGGCCCCTCTCCCTGCCGCCCGACCGTGGGCTCCCAGCGGCGCTGTCCTTCCGGGAGGGTCTCAGGAGGTGCCCGGCAGGACAGCGCCGGTCGGCGCAGGCTGCGACCTTCCTTCATTGCATTGACTGACTTCTTTATTAACCAAGTGATGTTAATTATTAATTGATCGAATTAACGTTCAGGCGTAACCATCGATCAGTGTCGGTCCGGGAGCCGTCCCCCGCGGCGCCCAGCGGTGACCCTGGCCCACGGGCCCGGGGTGACTCCGCTCCTCCCCTAGGGTGAGCGGGAGATCCGTCGGCCACGCCGTTTCATTTTTAGTGTTTGACTCCCCGATCCTTTTTCACTCAATTATTTGCAGAGAGGAGCCTTCACTTTTTTACTTCTCGGAAGACAACGGTTGACGTGATGTGGAGAGAAATTTAGACTCTCAGTCAAAAGCGCCTGAGCAGCACTCGCAGGAGGAAACTTTTGTTTCTCCCGTCCCTGAGCCGCGCCGCTGGCCACCAGGCACGAGGACGTCAGACCCTGAGCCAGGGCCTGCGTGAAAGGCATTGGCAGACAGGGCGGAGCCTTCCCAGGTTTGCTCGCGGCTTTTCCTGGTTTTACCACGTCACGGCCTCGCGGGGCCCCTTGTCTCGGGCAGAGGAGGTCACGGAGTCTGAGGGACAGTGACTGGTCCGCGGTTACGGCTGCAGGGCGTTTCCTACCCCAAGGGCCGCCCCGGGTTGCCACACCGGGTCGCTGCTGCCTCCTGGGCGCCCTGTGCCCGTCTTCCCCTGCACGTCCCTTGGACGCCTCCGGAGCCCCCGCTGACCTGGCTCCGGGCCCTGGGCCTGGCACCGGGACCACGAGCTCGGGCGAAACGCAGACCAACGAGAACAGGGTCAGGGCCACGGGAGCAAAGCCCAGACCCGCGGGAGGAAACATGAGGTCGCCTAGCAGCGTGCACGGCCGAGCCTAACATGTGTGAGCGGTGTCCAACCCGCGGCCGCAGGCCACAGGCCGCCCGGGGTGGCTGTGAACAGGGCCCAGCACGAAATCATCAATTTACTTAAAACATTGTGTGATTCCACATCACAATGTATTTAACGTGTGGCCCAGAGACGTGGCCGCCAGGCCGGACACCCCGGAGCGTCGTGAGGTGGAGCACCCCGACTTCTGCTCCCCGCCACCCCCGCTGTGCCCTCGGGAACCTCTTTGTCTGCCACAGACGACGCTGCGGTGTGACCCCTCCACTCGCCTCCCAGCGGGACGGCCGCCTCTGGCCACCCCCGCGTCCCTGCCGCTCCTGAGCGCCGGTCCGCACCCCGGGCACTTGCTTTTCTTTACCGCGTTCAGGGGACAGAGGCTGCAGACTGTTGATGTCGCCGAACCCCTTCCCAGGAACAAACGCTCGTCTCCCCCTCAGACTCGTACGGCACCAGACACAGGACAAGCCTGCGGATCTCCTGGGCCACCAGCTGCTCTCTGGGGACAGCAGGACCTTTCCTTTACGTCTCATGGTCTGGGGACAAGAAGCCTGACCCCAGCCATCAGCGCAGGGACGGGGCAGGGCCCGGGGATGTCCCCGAAGAGCTGGGGCACGTGCGCTGGACACGGTCACCCGAAGACCCGAAGGGGCTGCGGTGGGTGTGTTCCTTAGCGATGGGGCCGCTCCTCCACCACAGGCTCCCGTCGCCTCGGCCCCGTGAGCCCGGGATCTGCCGACCCAGCGTTCCCTGCGCCCGCTCTTTGCGCGCCTCGTACCTCAGGGCAGCCAGGCCGGGCGCCCCCCGCCCCCGCGCTCCGCCGGCCACACGTGCCCCGCGCACACCCGCCGCCTCCTCTCCGGGCGGCGTCCTCTCTGGGACAGCGGCCTCTCCGTCCGGTCCCCACGCCGGGCACTGCCCACGCACAGGACCCAGGGCGGCGCCGTGGCGGCGAGGACGCTGACAGGGACCGCAGGCCAGGCGGGTGGGTCCTTTCTTCCGTTCGCCGCAGGCGTCGAACGAGGTACTTACGTCCATGAACGCGACGGCCCGCAAGGTGGTTCCCACGCCCCAAACCGCTCAGGCTCACTCGGCATCTTACCTGCCCCACGAGGTCCGATCAGGGGGCGTCCAACCTGCCCAACCCCCTGCGGGGCCGGCGGCCGGGCACCGGGCAGGGCTGGTGCCCCATCCCAGGAGGAGAGGCCCCGAGGGCCAGCGCGCTGGGTCCGGGCGGCGGGACAGGGTGTCGCGTGCCACCCGCCGGCCGCAGGTATGGGCGCTGGTGTGTCACGTGCAGGGGCGCCCGCAGGGGTCCACCCCCAGGCCTGAGCTGGGAGACCCCAGAGGCCGCCCTGGACACCAGTCGCCATGGCCCCAGGCCGCTGGGCGCGGCCCGCCTGTCCACTCCCAGGGCAGAGCCTCCCGCTGCCCCGGTCCCCGCCAGCAACCCCGGCCCCGCGCTCAAGGGCCAGCGCGACGGCACCTTCTCCCTGACGTGGCCACAGGGGCAGCTGCCCAGGCTCTTTGAAAAACAAATGAATAAAAGCCTCCTTGAAAACCTCCTTTTATTAGAGGACCTACCCCAAGTGTGGAGAATTTAAAACCACCCTATTGAGCCAAAGCGGCAAACCATCAGCCTCCCAGGAGACCCCCGCCGCCCGGCCCGAACCTCCTCCCGACCGTCGAGACCTGGGACGAGCCTCAGGTCCACGCGGACGCCTTCGGAGGTGAATGCGCCCACCTGCCCAGCGACGAGCGTCCCCACGGGCACGAGACGCAGCGCGTTGCTCTCTCAGGCACGCAGGAGTCGGACGCCTGCCTCGGGGACGTGTTTGCAACACTCACTCTGGGGATGTGGAATCGGAATGAAAGTTGCATTCCAACGACATGTCTCCATTTTTAAATCACGTTTATTGTTTAGGTTTTGTCGCAGCGGAGACACTGCTCCACCACCCAGCGAGGGCACCCCGCCGATGCGTCCCGTTCCCAAAACAGCAAGATCCGCTCCCCACACACTCCTCGCCCCGTCGCCAGCCCACCGCTCACAGCCGCCTCTGCCCCGTTTCCACGGCTACGAGACGCGCAGATTGTGTCAAGATGTGACTGGCGCGCCCGCGTGGAGGACGCCGTTCCGTCAAGCACTCAGAGCGCCGCCGCGCGCCTGCACAGCCGGGAGGACACAGCGGACGCCCACGCGCGGCACGGTGGCTCCCGGTGGGCGGCGGACATCGCGGGTCATTGTGTGCGCAGAGGGGACAGCACTCGGAACGTTCACAGCTCCTCCCGCGCCCGCGGGTATCGCCGGGTGACTGGGTGCTTCTGTGCCGCTGTCAGACGCAGGAGGTCAAACGATCAATAAATAAAGCTCAACGTGTGAAGTGCAAATGCTAAGTAAACAGAACGACCTGAAATAAACTCAAGAGTTGCTCAACGGGGGGTGTTTGCCGGAGGTCCTGTCGTCACCGTCTGACGGGCACCTCTGCTCTGCGGGGGGACGGTCCCCGGCCGGTCCCGTCAGCCACGCTGGCCCGAAGCCGCTGCTGGGGGAAGAGGAGGGAGGGGACAGGAGCTCATTTTCGAAACTCGGCTTCGACAACAGCGCAAGTTCTCGGACACGTCTGCACGGCACAGAAAGTCTGAGGTCACAAGATCGGACAGGGCGGGGCGGCAGGGAGGCCGCAATGGCCCCCGGACAAGTTACACGTTGGCACCTCGGTGACACAGACTGCGTGGCCCAGAAAACAAAAGGCGTGACAAGGGCGGTTCTGTACAGTTAAAACTTTGGAGCCACCCCAGCTGAGCAGTCGGCAGCCACGTGTGGCAACGCCAGCAGGTGAGCACCGGGGCCACAGCGACCGGCGCCTTCACCCGCCACGGCAGCAGGAGTCAGGGCCTGGCCGCTTGGTCCCGTTACACAGTGAACGCGTCACGTGGGAAAATGAAGCGGAAAACAACTGTGAGATTCTTCCAGAGGCCGATGGCTGGTTAGGGGAAAACAACACATGACAACCAATGTATACATTTGCTTAATCGTACATGTTTCCCCCAGAAGCATCTGGTCTGTAAGAAAAAGAAGACAAAGCCAACAAAGAAACTAAAACAAAAAACCCAAGAGTACGAAAGCCGGCGTTCCGATCGTTTTCCTTCCTCTGCGTTCAGCATGGGGGGCGGGGCCTGCGACGCGAGTCCTGAGTTTGCCGGTGTCAGGTTCCGGACGAGGCACGTCGGACCCCACGAGGCTTTCCAGGCCCCTCCTGAGTGCGCCGCGCCTCCCTCGCATGTGCGGCAGCCAGGCAGCTGCACGCACAGCGGAAGGAGACCATCCCCGCCCGGGACACGCACGCGGGGCTCAGAACGAAGTCCGACACGGGCCCGGCCCAACGGGAGTCACTGAGGCCGCTCGCAGGTCCGTGCCGGCCTCGGCCTCGGCCTCGGCGTCGGCACACAGCGGGCTCCGCCCCCAGGGCCAGGCCCTCGCAGCCCTGAACTGCACCGGGCTCGTTAGTAGCTCGGGAAGGGGTGTTAGAACTGTTTGCTGACGCGACGCTCGGTGGCTGTTAGGCTGAGTGACAGCAGGGGCCTGCGGGGACGGGGGCCACGCGCTCACTTCGCCTTCTTCTCGTGCAGGACGCGGCCGTTCCTCCTGCACCGGCCGTTGGGGACCCCGTTGTGGTAGTGCCCGTTCACCGCGCTCGGCGTGTGCCCGGACCAGCAGCTGCGGGCCCGTCGGCAGACGAGGGAGGCGGCCCAGGACAGCAGGGCGCAGAGCAGGGCGGCGGCCAGCAGCAGCACAGCGGCCACGTCCAGGAGGAAGTACTGCCAGAAGGACAGCTGGTGGACGGCCGCCCGCAGGTGCGGGGCGCCCCGGTGGCGCAGGATGTACTCGATCCAGTACACGGTCCGCTGCACGGGGTGCCCGGGCTGGTCCCGGTGGATCTCGGACAGCTGCCGGGCCCTGCGACGGTAGCTGTGGGCGAGGGAACAGAGAGTGGCCGGGCTGCCAGGTCCGCTGCCGCAGGACCACCTCACAGCAGTGTGTGCGAGCGAGGTCAAGTCGGCCGGGCGCCGCCAGCGCCGCGCACGGGGCCCCGAACGGCTTTCTGTCCAGGCCGACGCGGCCCCCTCCGAACCCGTGGCACGACCGCGCTTCCCATTCGAGCGTCGTGGTTGCATCAACTAGACGTCAGGAAAAGAGCTGCCGAGGGCGGACGCCGGGACCCCGTCCGCGGGGGCCTGGGTCGCAGACACGCGCCTCTCGGCGCCCCGGCCGCGCGCAGGCTCCCGCGGGAGCGTCCTTCCCGGGGCCCCCCGCGTCCCTCAGCTCTGGCCGTGGTGCCCACTCCGTCTTGAGCCGCAGCCCCCGGGCAGAGGCGGAGAAAGCTCACCCTCTCCCCAGCGCCCCCGCCCCTCGAACACAACGCCCGTGCCCTGGCGTCAGAAACCGGGGCTGCGGAGCCGCCGGCAACTCAAAACACATCCGAGTTTTAAAACGGAGACCGGACAAAGGTCCCGCTCAGCCGCGGGCGTGCGCAACACCCGGTCGCTGTGAGTCACGGGGGGCCCGGCAGGCCAGGCGCTCACCTGGGGTCGCCGATCACGGCCGCCAGGGCCGCGTGCAGCTCGGCCTCGGTCGCTGTCCTCCAGTCCAGCAGGACCCCCATGCCCTTGGCCTGCACGCGGGTCATCGTGTCGTAATGGTCCCCGAAGAGCGGGAGGCCCACCACGGGGACGCCGTGGTACATGGTCTCGAAGATGCTGTTCAGGCCGCCGTGGCTCAGGAAGGCCTTGATGCGCGAGTGCCCTGCGGGAGAGCCACGCGTCACACGCACGCACGCCCCCGAGTGGCACGCGCCTCTGGGCCGCCCTCCCCCCACCGACGGCCCCCGGGGGCCCTTCACGTCTCCAAACGGGGCTGCAGCGCCTTGTCTTTATTTTTAACAACAGCGGCACAAACACACCGATCTTGTTATATTTATTTACTGAGTCCATCGTGGTTACAAAAGCTATTTTGAAGCAGCAAGGGTTTGTAGCTTTGAGAGGCTCATTAGGACTTCAAACGCGGACCTCGGCTGGCCAAGGGCGACGCTCTGCAGAGCACGGCCCGTAGACGCAGGTTTGACTCGGTGTGAGATCTGAGCTGGGACGGCAGACGACAGACACCCCCCCACCCCCGCACGGCGGCGGCGCGGGCAGGACAGGGCCGAGCGCGGGGCCCGGGGACTCACCCAGCAGGTCGTTCTGCGGCAGCCACTCCAGGAGCTTCGTGTTGTTCCCCAGGTTCTTCGGTTTGGGTCCAGAAAACCTGCGTGCGCACCGACAATGAGCCGCTCAGAACCCAAGCGTCCCTCCTGCCCTGGACTCTGGCTCCATTGTCACGAGTTTAAAGCACGAGTTTATACTCCTAACAAGGAACTGCCGGGCACAGCACCAAAATCTGGGGCGGTTCCTTTCCCCAGTCTTCCGATGAGGGGTAAATAGGGGACACTCGGCTTATTCTGAGGCCAACGTCCTCCTGCGCTTCTCACCGGACACAGGTCGGGCAGGGCGCCCCCGCGAACCTGTGCTAGAAACACCCCCGCCAGGACCCAGCCGTGAGCTGGGAAGGACCCCGAGGGCCGGCAGCAGGCGGCCACCCCTCCGTCCGGGGCCCAGGGCCCGGGCCGGTAGGGACAGAGGTGGCAACGGGCTGCCCCGCAGCTCCACCCGCGGACGGTGCCGGGGGAAGGCCACGAGGAGGCCGTGTCCTGCCGCGGCCTTCGGAAGGGGAGGTACAGGTTCGCCGGACGCCGGCTGCCCTGCCCGCGGCAGAGGGGCGCCGCCCAAGGGGGCCCACGGGAAGCCCCGGGCCCAGGGGTCCGTCCGCACCGTTCCCACTTCAGCCGGGAGGGCGTCCGAGGACACGCCTGCTCACCCAGCGGCCGCGGTCCCTGGCTCATCGCTGTGTTTTAAAGGCCTGCTCTCCGGCGGGACCCCAAAGGCCCTGTGGGGCATTTTACCCGCTTGCCGCTCCCCCTTCCTCCTCCCGCCCTGACCCCAAGGTGCAGGGAGACGGGACAAGGGCGGGCAGACGCTGCGCAGGCACCGCCCCCGCCTCCCTCAGGCCTCCGCCCGCACCCACCCTGCGCCCCTGCGGGGCCCCGGTCGCGGCGCCGCCGTCACCTACCTCCAGATCACCCTCTGGGGCAGCCGGCCCAGCGCCCCCGCCAGCTTGCGGGCGACGTCCTCCGACAGGTACCTGACGCCGGCCCCGAAGGACACGAGCACGAAGCCGTGTTCGCCGGCCCCGTCCACCCAGCTCTGCAGCTCCTGCGGGCGGGCGACACGCGGCGTCAACGCCGGGCCAGCGGGCTCCCCGCCGGCGTCCGGGCAGGGGGCCTCGCGCCGAGCCCCGGGGGGCGTGAGAGCGAGGATGAGGGCCCCTGAGTAACGCCTTCGGCCCTCGCCCGCCTTCGGCCCTCGCCCGCCCCCCGGGAGGTCGGACGGAGGCGGAGCGGCTCTGGTTGAGCCAGCAGGGGGCAGCGGCCGCAGGGCCCTGCCTGAGCGCCTAGCCCGGGGCGGGGTGGGGGGGCCGGTCCTGGGCCAGGGCCGCTGCAGCCGCTGTTCTTCGCGACACCTCGTGCCTGCGGCATGCGTCCCTTGCCCGTTCCGGCCGCCGCGGCGTGGGGCCCTCGGCACTGCCTGTGTCTTCGCTGACGGCGCGTTTGTGAGCAGGGCGGGCACCTCCCTGTGCCCCAGATGCGTGTGTGCACGCACGGGTAGAGCACGCCCTCCCGCACACGCGTGCGTCACAGAGGCCGCCCGACGGAGCAGGACCTCTGGGCCCCGCAGGGTCCCCCACCCGCCGCTGTCCCGGGCCCTGGCCCTCGGCTCCTGAGGACGTCCCCGCTCGCTGGCTGGGGGCCCCGGGGACACACAGGGACACAGCTGGGACCGCAATCCTCCTTGGGTACAAGAGGACCCTGAGGCTCGGGAGGGCGAGCAAGACTTGAGCTTCTTTCCAATGAGAAGGACAATTGGGGGGGCGGGGGCGCCGGGAGGCGGGAGCGAGGCCCCTGCTCCCCTGCGCCCAGCAAACCCGCGACCCGGCAGCCACTGTCCGCGGCTCCGCCGACGCAAAGGCCAGGCGGCCGTCACGGGCAGGGTCCCAGCACCGGGGGGCCCGGCTGCCCACTCAGCAAACACGACCACCACCGCCCAGCCGCGGCCGCGCCGCCCAGGCGCCCGGGTGACTGAACGGGAATCGGTCCTCAGAGGGGGCGCATCCTCGCGGCCTGGCCGCAGTGCCCTCAGTCCCCTGCCCCAGCACGGTCCACACCGCGGTCCTCCGAAGACCCCTGCCACCTGGCGCCTCCTCACGCCTCTGTCCACCCCAGACAGGCCCTCCCAGGGGACACGCGCCACGTCACTGGGTGTGTGTGACTTCACACATGCCTCTGTTCCCGGTGGTGAACACAGAGGGTGCTCATTGCCCACTGCTATCTTTTTCTTTTAAGGTTTTACTTAATTACAGACAGAGGGGAAGAGAGGGAGAGAAACATCCCTGCGCGGTTGCCTCTCGCGCGCCCCCTGCTGGGGACCCAACCAGCAACCCAGGCCTGGGCCTGACTGGGAATCGAACCGGCGACCCTTTGGTGCACAGGCCGGCGCTCAGTCCACGGAGCCACACCCACCCGGGCTCACGTGTTTTCATAAATCAGGGAAGCTGATAGGAATGTACATCCTTGAAAAGATAATATCGGGTTGGCCATAAATTTCGTTTTTTTCCTTCCAGCTCCCTGCCACGGGCCTCACACCCAAACGTCACGGCAAAGCCACAGGGGTGGGGGACCGACCCGGCGCCTGGAGGTCAGGCCCTCCAGGCTTCACCGGGGGGCTCGCGCCGAAACCCGGCCGGCTGAAACGGCGTCCCAGTCACGGGCACCGACCCGGGTTTTAGTTTTCCTTTCAAAGCCCCCCCAAGAGCGAGTCCCCATTTTGGAGAAAAACAATCCTTTCCCTGGGCAGCTGTTTCTGATTTCGCTGCGACTGAGGCAGGACACTGACCAGAGGTCACCCAGCTCAGTGGCCACAGGTGGCAGTTCACACAAGAAACGCCCCGCCTTTTCCACTGAAGAGAATGTCTGCAAACGCAAGAGGAAAAGAGTCAAGGAGGGTTGCTCCTCTTTGTTTTTCTACGACTCAGCCTTTCCTGGGCCCTTAAACATGGTTTCTTGAAAGAGATACATTTTTCTCAAACACCAGCAGAAAAAGAGATACGTTTTCCTCAAACACCAGCAGAAAGCCCCCTGCACGCGGACACACCCAGCCGTGCGGGGATGCGGGGGGGCAGCAGGGAGCGCCGCCAGGCCCTTGGCCGGAGCGGGGCACGCGGCAGGGGCACGCGGCAGGGGCACGCGGCTGCTCACGCAGGGAGCACTCGGCAATGGGACTCCGGAAGCAAAGGACCCACCGCCTAACAGGTTGGTTAAAAAAAAAAAATCCCACCAGGTTTCGCCAAAGACTCTCCTATTGAAAAGACACATCAAGGCAATTTCACCCAAAGGATGGACAGAGAACGTCTCACCGAGAACCCGCCGCTGCTGGGGCACCACGCGCCCTGCTCACCCCTGTCCTCTTGAAGCGCACACACAGCACGTGGCGTGCGCCTGCCACCCAGGACGACCCGCAGGCTCGGGGCCCCCGGGGGACACGCGGCCGAGGAAACCCCGCCAGCCCGAGGCAGCTGAAGGCGCCGGGTCCCCCTTCCGGCCGCTCTGCGCCTGCCCACAGAACCCGCGGCTCCCGCCCGGGGCCGAGCTGCTGGCCGCAGCCCTGGGAGGCCCTGCCTGTCTGCCCCCCGGCACTGCAGCCTCCACGCCCCCTCAGCAAGGTCTCTTCCTCCCCTGCCACGAGAACGTCCGTTCGCCGCACGATTATTAAGTGACGTCTTGTAACATTTCAAATTCACTTTAAAGATCTCTAGTCACGTAGTCTCTCTCCAGACACCGGTGGACGGAGATGTAAATTTTTGTTTCTCTGTGAATTTGCACACGAAGATGAGAAGATTAATTCAGACAAGGGAGAAATTCAGACCCTGTAATTCCTTCAAGTTTAATTGCCTGTGTTTTACATTCTCAAAATCAAATAAAATCCCAAGCGTGCAAGGCTGGTTCCGCGTTCAAAAATAAATGAGCATAATCTATCCTATCAACAGGCTAAATTAGAAAAACCCCTCCATCGTACCAATATACTCAGAGAAAGCACTGACGAACCCTCACGGCCACGTGTGGTAAGACTCTCAGCTAACGCGGGAGAAGGAGGCCCTTCCTCTCCGTGGCAAGTACCACGGGCGGAACCCGGCAGCCACGCGGCACAGGGTGGTGAGAAAGCCCGAGGCTTTCCCGGGGGAGCAGGCGGGCAGGGCGCCGCCCCCCACCCCCGCCTTCACCGCGGCCCCACGCCCGGCCGACGGGTTAGACGAGGGAGGAGGCGGAAACACACAGGCGGGAAGCAGGAAGTAACTCCCTCTGTTCACAGCTGACAGGGTCGTCTCTGCAGGAAGTGGAAATGGTTATCAGGAAACGACGGCAGCGTCTCGTGACCATGACTCAGCGTTCCCTGCGACCGTGACTCAGCGTGTCCGTGACGCCAGGACCCGGCGTTTCTCCGCAGCCCTGGCTCAGCGACTAAGGCAGGGTTGCAGGTCACAAGGTGGATTCACAAAAGCCAGTCGCTTCCCTGCGCGCCAGCAATGAACAGAGGAATTGGAACATAAACACATGATGCCGTTCAAACGCGCATCTCCAAAATGAAATGCTTAAACACAAATCCAACAAAACACACACAAGGTCTCAATGAGGAAACCCACACAACCTTGACGCGTGAAATCAAGGAAGAAATAAGTAACCAAAGAGAAATTCCACGTCCGTGGCCAGGAAGGATCTATACTGTCAGGATAACAACGTAAACATTCAACACAGTCGGAATCGAAATTCCAGGAAGTCACTCCGTGGGAATCACCACGCTGACCCTGAAGTTCCTTTGGAGGCGAAGACCCAGCGTAACCCACTCCACACCCACAGAGGACATGGCTGGCGGCCTCACGCTGCCCCCTCCGCGGCCGACTGCGGCGCCGCAGGCAGAACAGACGCACAGACCAGGGGGACAGAACAGAGCGCCCAGAAGTGGGCCCACGGAAACACTGCCAACTCGTCTCGGGCAACAGAGAAAGACAACGCGACAGAGCCGTTCATGGAACGAGGCTGGGACCACGGGGCGTCCACGCGAGCAACGACTCCAGCCGCGGGCCTCATGCCCTCAGAGAGGTGAGGTCAGAAGGGGGCCACGGCCCCAAATGGAAAACGCAAAACCATAAAACTCCCCGAAGGTAACAAAAGGGAATACACAGATGATCTCGGGTCTGGCGATGGCTCTAGATACAAAACCAAAGGCACGTCCCTGCAAGAAGTAATTAACACGCTGGACGTCGTTAAAATCACGATCTTCTGCTCCGTGAACGTCAACGTCCAGAGAATGGGAGGACAAGGCGCAGGCTGGGGGAGGTGTTTGCAGAAGACACGTCTGATGAAGGGCCGTCACCCCGTATGTGCGAAGGCCAGTGAAGCCCAGCGGCAAGAGGCCCTGGCGAGGCCGCAGAGTCGTCCCGCGGCGCCGAGGCCGTGGGTCCGATCCCGGGCGGGGCGGGTGCAGGGATGGACCTGGTGCATCGCTGGGCGGACCCACGGGTCGGTGCCCCGCCCTCCCCAACCCTCTCTCCCGCCCCCCTTCCCCGTCTCCTTCTTCTCTCTCTGTGAAATCAATAAATAAAATTTCAAACTCAATGATAAGAAAACACCTTGATTTTAAAATACGGGTCACCGCGCTGACCTGACGCCTCCCCGGGCAGCCGCGCGGGCAGCAACGAGCCCACGCAGGTGCTGCACCGCACAGGCCCTGGAAGATGCGAAGGGCGGGTGCGAAGGGGGGCCGCGGGCCGCCCCAGGCCGTCACGTGTCGCCGTTCGCAGCGGGCCCTCGTGAAGGCCCAGAAAGCCGCCCTTGCTGTTTGCTCGTCCGCGGCCGCCGGGGGGTGACTCGCCAGCTGCTGCTGGGAAGGTCGCAGGGTCAGAGAAGTCCCACCGGGAGGGGCCTCGGGGACCCAGGTGAGTCAGGGACACGGGCGGGTTCGGACATCAGGGCTTTTATTCCGGCTTCTCAAAGGCCTTCCCCACGTGCTCGAGCTCTTGGCCGTGACCCCGAGAAGCAAGACACCCAGGACAGCCAGCTTCTGGCTGGAGTTCGCGGGATATTGTCTGAAAATGCAGCGCCTCTTAGCAAACGACGAGTATTTTAAAATTCAGCACTTCGACTACTTAATTGAACGTACGGCCTCGCCAGGCGCATCAATGGTCCTTCATTTTTAGGAATCCCTGCGGTTGAGAAACGCACACACGTCCTTCCAACCGATCACCAGCCAGCGAACGTCTGCGACACAGACGCAAGCATTCGTGTACCCCGCTCTCACAGATAAGGGCACCGCATGTGACTGCCCACAAGGACAGGGCAGCCCGGGACCCGCCACGTGGGGACACGGGTCACCGAGGCCAAACCCAGCGCCACCCGGGAGCGGGACTTGTTCAGTGTCAGGCGATCGTCGCTGCGGAGCTCCCCAGCGCGCGGCCCTCAGGGAGGAGCGTTTCCCACGCAGCTCTGCAGCGTGGACGTTTTAAATTCTGCGGCCCTTGGCGTCTCGAGAAGGTGGCGCTCCCTGGCCTGGCGCCTCCGGGCAGCAGCGGGGAGCCAGGCTCGGGAGCGCGCGGGTCAGCCCCACGTGGGGCCCACAGGCCCGTTCCCTCCGGGTGGGTTTGGTGGCCGTCGGTTTGGTGCCGGCTCTGAGCAGCAGCAAAGGCTGCGTCCCCGCCTTCCCGGAGAAGCGTGAACCTTCAGACACAGTCAGGCCTGCGCGTGTGTGGGCGGCGAGACCGGGTGCTGGGGGCGTGCACTGTGCCCGCGCGCTGGGGCCTCGCCTCTGCCCGTCCCGAGGCAGACCGCCGGTGCCAGGATTGATTCTTCGGGCTCCTGCCTCCGGGCCTCCAGTTTCAGCATAAAATATTCAGCACCCAGAAAGGCGATCCGCGAGGTCAGCACCCGCACTGCACCGCCGGGGTCCCGGCCCGCCCTCCGCTGCGCCGAGCTTTGGGAGTGGCCGTCTCAGGGGCAGCAAGGACAGGGTCCTGGAGGCAGCGGCCGGGGTCCCAGCAGGCGGGGAGGGCTGCGGGCGGCCTGGACCAGGGCTCAGGGGCTCAGGCTGAAAGGGAGCGCAGGCCGAGCGGAACGAGGGAGAGAACGGCGCGGGGGGAGGGTCAGAGCCTGTGTGTGAGCCCGAGGGGCTGACCAGGGCGGGGCTCCCGGAGAGGGCGGCGAGGCGGGTCCAGGATTCGAGCAGGTGGGCGCGCTCTGCTGAGGCCGCCTGCGCCGCACGCCCGGCAGGAACGCTCACTCCGGCAGCCCCTGACGCCTGGGGATCACTGGTCTGTGTCCCCAGACAAAGGCAGCGCTGTGTGCACGGCACTGGGGCGCTCATTGGCGAGTCCCGGCACGAGGTGCTGCTGGCGCAGCTGTGGCCTCCAGCTGGCAGCGGCCACGGAGGACCGCGGGCCTCCTGCCGACTCTGAGAGGGAACAGGGCGCGGGGCCCTGCTCAGCTGGGAGGAGCGAAGGCGTCCGCACGAGCAGCCGTGACGCGGGGAGCGGAGCCAGGAGCCCCCGTGAGGAGCCGAGTGTGCGCCCCGCGCCCCGGTCGTGCCCCCCTCACAGCCCGACCTGTTCCCAGGCGGCGAGTCCAAGGAACCAGCAGCTCAGTGTCCCCGAGGCCGTCCCGGCAAAGGACAGAGGGACGGGTCTCTCATCTCTGCCTCCCTTATCGGCATCTGCCTGCACGACCTGGTTCCCCTGAGTTACAAACGTCCCTGAAGCTGGGAGAGCGAAGGCACCCTGAGCCTGCCGACCTCGAGGTGAAGGCCCAGCCCCCGGGGGGGGCGCCCGGTCTACCGTGCGACAGGGCAGCCCCGTCCCCGCTCAGGGGCACAGCAGACCCCGCAGCCCTCCCGGGGGAGGAGGGCGGCGACCTCCGTCCTTCCTCCGCGTCCGTGGCACGGCAGCCACCGGGGCCGGAGCGGCGTCACCGCAAACAACCCCGCTTCTGGCAGCTGCTTCTGTTGCGCCCTGTTCCTTAAACGCTGACTGAGCGCCTGTGGGGGGTGGGGGCGGGGCCAGGGCCTGCAGCCGGGGACCCTCCTGAGGCGCCGGGTTCAGGCGCGGCTGCGGGTCCGGGCGCGAGGCTGCACCATGGCCGAGACTGTGGCCCATGGGGCCGACCTGGTCACCGGGGGAACCCACGTAAACAGCCCGCGGCGTGTCCACCCCAGGCGAGCGCCCGAGGCTGTCCTGGTGCTGCCGTTACCGCCGCGAGGCCATGAGAAGCCGCTGGGGCACCCATCGGACGTTACTCTCGTTCCATTGAAGACCTCGGACCCAGCAGGGACCCGGTGACCGGCCCCCCTGCCCCCGGGCAGACGCCCTTTCACTTTGTGCCCGACTGCCCGGCCGGCTCCGGCAGGGACCACGCCAGGACGTGGACGTGGTCCGGGCCCACCGCGCCTCGGCCACGCCGGCAGGAGGCCCGGGGCAGCCCCGTGCGGCCCGTCCGACGGTCAGACACGCGGCCTGTGAGCCTGTGAAAACCTCGCGACCCGGGCACGGGCGCTTCGCCTGGCGCCGCGTCCGCACCTGGTCGCCAGAGCCCTGGGCTCCGGCGCCCATGTGGGACCCACCCTCTAAAGCACATGCAGCGTCCTAACGGCCCCACCCGGCCCTCCTGTGACGTCCCCGGCACCAGGTGAGTCCGAGGATGTCCCCCGCCCGTGCGTAACCGTGGAGACAGGAAGAGGAGCGGCAGGAGGCGCTGGGCCCCGACAAAGACGCTCTGCAGGGCCCGCGGCACCCACACCCCGGGCCCCAGCCCCTTCCCGGGCCTCCCAGACGCCGGACGCTCCTGTGCAACCGACAGACGGACAGACGGACTCTCCTCGTTTTGGGAAAGAAATCAATGAAAGAACAGAGGTGAACAGACGCTCTCCGGTTTCCTTGGGCTCCAAGGCCTGGGAAGCTGCGGAAGCCTGTTTCAGAGAGCTCCCCGCCCCCCGCAGGCTGTGAAACGCGACCCACCATCCGATCACCTGCAGACATCTGGGAAGCGAATCCACCGCGCGAGACACCTGGGCCGGTAACCACCGGGCCGCTGCCAGGGACGCGCGGCCCACGATTGTAGCGTCACAGCCGTGCCCTGTGCCCTGCGCCTGGGCGGGCACTGGAGACACTCGCCAACTCCAAGACCCTCACAGGACAGTTTACCGAGTCAGGTGCTGGCAGAGATGCCCCGGAAGAAACGCCGCGCCCTCCCGGAAACCCCCGGAACGAGGCCGACGCCCCTCAGAACGTCCCCGCGGGCGGGGCGCGCAGGCGCCCGGCCCACGGAGCAGACCCCCGCTCCCCTGCTGTGCACGGAGCGCGTCCTTGCTCGTTCGCTGCCTTGAGGGGACAGCGCCGCACGGCACAGTCGCGTGTCAAAGGCACATCTTCTAACGAATCGTCCAACGAATCGTGACAAAAGCCCATGGAAGCCCAGCCCAGGGGAAGCGGCGTCAAACCAGAAATCATGCGAAAACAGAAAACGCGACTTCCCATGACACTCAAGCCACAGAAAAGTCACAGTTAAAGCCACACCGGAGTGGCAGTGAGGATGTGGGGACCCCGGGAGGAGCCACCTCTGGCTGCGGGAGGGGGGGAGCCTCAGTGCACCAGCCTCCCGGCGGCTCCCACGACCCGGGGTTAAGGTTTGGGCTGCTTTCGGGGAGGGAGGGAGGAGGACGGCTAAGGATCCCCGGGGGCCCGGTGCATTCCTGAGCCGCCGAGACCATGGCCACCCGGCCGGGGCACCGGGCTGCAGGCCCCAGCTCGGGCCAGGCTCACGCGCCTGGGTCCCACGCGATGGATCCAGGGGTCGTCCCTTACACGTGCTTCGGTGGGGGACGCAGGGAACCCTGAAGCGAGGTTCCCCTCACGTCCCTCTCTGCGAGCAACCTCGCCCGCCCAGCCCTCCCCCGGACCCGGGGCCTCGCCCAGCCCCTCCGGCAAAGGGGCGGCGCAGCCAGGACGCTGCCTAAGGGGCCGCCCTCCGGCCCGGGAGGGAAGGGCAGCTCGCGGCCGACGCTCAACTTTCCAGCTGCCCTGAGGCCGGGGAGCAGCACCGTGCACGTGGCTGTTGTCCCCTGCGTCCGAGGCACCTGGACGCAGAGGCCGCCTGGGCCTGGGTTTCATTAAAGCAGAATCACTCGCACTCGCCGAGCGTCTCCCTGCTCACGCTGCCGCGCGGGCTCCACCACAGGCCCCTGCGGCCGGTCCCCGAGCCCACGGCAGAGACACACTCAGACAGGGCCAGGGCTCCGGGGCCGTGGGCCCTCCAACGAGGGGACCCGGGTGGCTGAGTCCCCACCGCCCCCTCCCCCCGCTTTAGCAGCACTTGCTAGCAAACAACCAGCCCCACCCCTCCTGGAAACCCAAACTGACAAGGGACCTCCCCGCTGCCCCGGGGCCCCGGATGCGCAGCCTCACCTGGGGCAGCGGCCCGGCCGGCTTGGTCAGGATGCCGCCCACGTACACCACGTTGGGCAGCGTGGGCCGCGGGAACTCCAGCGCCACGTCGGTGCAGAGCATCCAGAGGCTGGAGCCATGCACCAGGTCGTACATGGACTTGCCGGGCAGCAGCCCGTGCTTCCGCAGGACGCGTTCGTACTTGGGCAGCACCAGGAGGCGCACGCCCAGCCGGGACACCAGGTACACGCCCGCGTTCTTCATCCTCTGCACCAGGCTCATGCGGTCCGTGAGCAGCGAGTTGAACTCGGGCACGTAGGCCAGGGGCGCGGGTGCGCCCACCTCGGCCGGGTACCAGAGCCCAGTGGAGAACACGGCGTACCGCACGCCCAGCAGGTGCGCGATGATGAAGCCGCACATGTCGTTGGGGTCGACGAGCAGCAGGTCGAAGCGTTCCCGCCGGAGCGCGCGCAGCAGCGGGCGGTTGCCCAGCACCAGGTCGCAGTTCCGCGTGTACTGCTCCAGGATGTCCAGCAGCTCCACCGCCGTCAGGCGCCCCGAGAAGATGCTGCGCATCTTGGCCTGCAGGAAGGCGTCGGCCGCGGAGCTGTTGAAGACGCCCGGGTAGCGCCGCAGGCCGTAGTGGGGCGAGGGCGCCAGGTCGCGGCCCTCCGACAGCAGGAAGACAGTGCGGTGGCCGCGCGCGTGCAGCGCCGAGGCCAGCGTCTTGAAGATGTACATGTGGCTCTCAAACATGATGGGCGGCACAATGATGATCTTGGCGGCGGCCGCCACGCCGAGCGCGGCGCACAGGAGCACCAGGCGCGGCCCGCAGGACGCCATGGCTGCAACGACAAGGCAGACCGCGCTGAGGCCCCCCGGCCCGCCCCGCTCTCACCACCTGTCCTGGGGGGTCACTGGGAGCCCAGACTGGGCCGCAGGCTCACAGCCCGGGAACCTCCCGGTGACGTGACAAGGCTGCCCGAGGGACGGCGCTGAATCACTGGTTCCCCTTTCCTTGGAACGCGACCATCCGTCCCGGGCGCAGGACGAGACAGACGAGTGTGTCTCCAATTTAAATCATTTCGTCTCCCCAGCCCCTTGCCCAGCAAAGACCAGACAATGTTACAAAGTAACTGTTTCAAGTAGTCCTTCCACCAGCGGCACTTTCCACAGGAAGACCACCCACAGAGCGCACCTGCCTCTGTCCCAACCCCGGGGCCCCCGGCGGACGCACGTCAGGGCCACGGCTGGAAGGGACACCGGACAGCTGGCGCCCAGCCAACGCTGCGTGTGGACGGCCTGCCCCGCCCGCCCAGGGCCGCCAACACCCCCCTGCCCTCGCGGGGGCAGCCGAGGCGCCACTGTGAGCCCCGTCTGCTGTCACTTCACAAGCAGCGGCCCGGCCGGTGGGGCCAGCCGGTGCCGACCGCCCCCCGCGCCACCTCACACACAACGGATCCGCCCCCACACGCAGGGGAGGCCTCCGCAGCGACGCTGCGAGTCCCGGGACACCTCTGCTTCAAAGCAGGTTTGCCAGGTCAGCGTCCGCTCTGCACGTTGCCGCTCGCCAAACACCCTGTCCATACGGGGTCCCGCCACCGAGAAACGCAGTTTCAAGCACTGTACCTTCTCCGCATTCAGGCACAGCTGGCAACCTGGAAGGGAAAAGGAAAAGGAATCAGCGGCAGACAAAGGAAGCATAAACACGCTGTGTTCCCAGGGCCTCGTTCCTGGCCCCCCGTCCCCCACCCCCCACCCAGGGAACGAACGTCAGGCCGGGCGGGCGAGCGAGCAGGCACGGCGCCACCGAGCACCAGCGGCAGCGACGCGGCATGGACACCGCGGAACCTGTGTTGGCTGCTGCCTGGACTGATGCCAGGGCCTCGAAAAATAAACGAGGAGCAGGTGCTGCTTCTACAGCCATGAAGCAAGCGCATGCTGATTCCAAATTTGGGGGCGAAGGGGACGCAAGCACTGAACAGGCGCATGCACGGCGGTTTTCTTTCTCAAAACCAGCAAGGCAGGCGCGTCCACGGCGACGCACAGCCCGGCAAGGGTCCAGCACACTCGAGAAAGCCCGGCGGGGAGCGTGCAGTGGCAGAGATGTACTGAAAGACAAGTGGCCGGTGAGCACACGTTGGCGGCCGGCGCTCACAGGCACCGGGACGACCGGCACGCGTGTGGGCAGGCGGTCCCGCCCCGCACCCGGGAGCAGGCAGCGGCTGCACCCAGCCGAGCACGAAGCAAACTCGGTGCAGCCACAGGAGCGTCTCACAGAACCATCGAAGCCACGTTTATAAAACGTTAACTTGACAAAGTAGCTCATAACACAAAGAACACAAGAAACAAAACTGTGTCCACAAGCCTATGTACACGTAAAGGGATTAGAACGGCAGCGAGGACACCCACCTGTTACCAGAAGTAAACAGGGGTCGTCAAATCAAGTGGTTTTGTTGTCTTTTCCTACCTGTATTCGCCTGGACGTCTGAGGCTTTCTAACAAAACTACAACATCCACCTCCATTGGTGTCCCTGAGCTGGGGTCTCCCTTGGGGTCGGGGAGAAACGCTGGCCCCGTCTGCTGGCTCCACCCCCGACCGCTGAGGCCTCGGCCACGCAACACGTGCTGTCACGGGTGCCAGGCGCCTCCGGACACCCATGCACACCCGTCGGACGGGGCTGCTCTGCCGCGCGGGACGCGCTGACCCTCCCGTTGCAAACCCTGGGTTCGGGACGCTGCTCGCCCCGCGCCCGGCCGCCCCGAACCCCCAGACCCGTGCGAGCTCGCCCGCAGCCAGCCGCCATCACAGGCGGCTGCCGCGCAAGGACCTGTGACGTTTCCACACGGGCCACCCCTCAGCCGAGCGGCCCCACGCGGCGCAGGTGCAGGTCCACTGGGCCCCACCAGGGGCACGCGGGGCGGCACTTGGCTGAGGGGTGCACGTCCACCGCCCCCGCCTGAGCGAGCCGTCCCTGCCGGGCCCGGGACCGCGGCCCCCAGGCACCACTGGGAGTTTGCAAAGGAGAGGCCTCAGCGTCGAGGATCCCCCATCGTTCCCGGTTTCCCGAGCAGGCGCCTCAAACGACAGCAGAGGCCGCCTTCAGCCCCACGTGGAAGAGCCGTTGCCCCGGCTTCTCCCAGGGATGGGGGGTCGCTGCCCACGGGACGGGGCCGCGCGCGTGAGGAGACGCCCCCCCGACAGGCGCCTGCACTGCGGGCAGATTCTGGTGTTGGGCAGTCAGCGACCCCGCCCGCCCGCAGGTCGGCCGCCGAGTCTGTCGTGGGAAAGGAGAGCCCGCGAGCACAGCCGTAGTGTTTCGTAGGGCTTGTCCTGTCTCTCAGCGGCATGCCTGCTGCTCGGTGGGGAGCAAACCCAGACGAATCTCGCCGGCCCCCACGGGACGCAAAGCCCCACGTCGGGGAGGAGCCTTCCCGGCACCTTTACTGCGAGGCCGCGACCACGGACGACCCGGATGGATTCCTGCTTGCGAGTTCAAGGGCATGTTCGACCCCACCTACGTTAACATCGCCGAGTCACCAACCAAGTCACGTGTGACGTCTCCGACGCGCTTTGAGACCGAAAACGACTGGCCAAGTAGCACCAACCAACAAAACCACCGCCGCTGCCTCTTCGGTTCCTCGGACGTCCTCGCGAGGGAACAGACGAGGGCCCTCTCCCACGCAGCAGCATCACGAACAGCAGGCGCTGGCGGAACGTGAGGGCAGACGGCACAGCGACGTCACTCCCCCAAGCGACGGCCTGGCGGGTAGGGGCGTCTGCAGACACGCCCAGCGGGCCCCGCGCGGCCCCGCGCCAGCCGGTGGGAGCGCAGTCCGGTGTCTTCCCAGGCCCTCGGCGGCCCCTGGAACCACAGGTGGGCGGGCCGGCGGCAGATCCCCGCCCTGTGCACACCCAGCGTAAACGCGCTCATCCGCCGGCCCGGCCCCCCGGCCTCAGGACGGGGACCAGCTCTCCTAGACGTGCCTTTTCCCTTAGGAAGCGAGTCAGAGCCCCCGTGCCCCACGAACGGTGACCGCCCCGTCTGCAGAGGGAGGGCCGGACCCGGGCGTCGCGGTCACTCGCTGCAGTCAGACCAGCGGCCGGCGCCCGGGTCCCCGGGTCCCACCGGCTCCGGATTCAGGCTCTGCAGTGTGGCCACCGCCCCACGTCAGAGGGCGGGTGGGCTTTTCGAAATTCGGGGGCACGCAAATCGAAACAGCAGCCTTTGGAAACCCTCAGGAACGACCCTCCGAAAGCTCCGTACAAGGGTGACAGCAGATGAAACAGAAAACTCGCTGGCGGGCGCCCCGACTCCGCGCGGGCTCGGCCCCGAGCAGGCTGCCTGTTGAAGGAACCGCGGGGGCCTCCCAGGCTGCAGGGGGGCAGGGCCCGGCCAGGAAAACACATGTCCTGTTTCAAAACCGCCCTCCTGTGCCCTGCGCCCTCCGGGCAGAGCCGCCGGCAGGAGAGGCAGGGACGGGGGCAGGCGGGGGAGGGCCCGCAGGGCCCGCGTCCGGGCAGGGCAGTCTGCGCACTGCGACCCCACGCCCCCGGGGACGGCCCCGCCCCTGCCCCAAGCTCCCCACTCCATAATCACTGGCCGCGTCCTCTGTGTCCCCTCCCAAAGGCAGGGACAGAGCTGTCACCTCCAGGGGGCCGGCGGGAGGAGGGGAGAGGCCGGAGAGCGAGGCGGGGCAGGGTGGCCGCAGCCCTTTTCTGGCCTATTCTACGCGGCTCCGTGCATTGACCAGCGGGCGCAGGGGAAGCCTGCACCCCGGGAAGCCTGCGCAACCCAACACGCTCCCTCCCGGGGTTCCCAAGGGTCGCTCCGAGCTCACAGGCAACCGCCACGCGTCGCTTCTTATTAAAAGTCCAAATGAACCTGTTCACTTCCTCATCTTTTCCCCGGACATGATGTTGCAAAAGGCGCTCTTATTCCCCGCCGTGGCCAGAGGAGGCTGGAGCCCAGACAGGGGAGGGGCCCGCCCGCCGTGGAGGGCAGGCCGCCGTCCGGCACGGACAGAGCACCGTCTGCCCTCGGTCGCGGGGCCTCGCCCGGAGTCGGCGGGGCCTGGGCGCCCACCTCCTGGGAACCCCAGGAAGACCCGAAGGGAAAACGCATCGGCCACTCTTCACGTTGTAACGAAGGACCCACAACAGGGTCCCCCCCGACGGCGCTTCTGCTGGGACCGAGGACGCCGCGGTCCCTCCGGGAGGCCCTCGCTCCCTGAAGGTCTTGTGCAACGCCGAGGAAACATCTCACGTTGAAATGCTTCCAGTTTGGGAAAACCAGAGGACAGAGCACAACCTACCCAGAAAACACGGGCTGGCGGCCGCGCCCTCGTGGGCGGGGACCCTCTGCGCGCGACCCGGAGGGAGGCCACAGGGACACACAGGAACGAAAGGCAGGGCCGTGGGGGGCGAGCTCTGGGACGTCCCAGGGGAGCGGCCCTCCCGCCGGGGCCCCCGGGCGACGCCCTCGCGGACGACGGGGCCTGGCCACAGGCCGGGGGTGGGCGAGGGAGGCCGGCCCGGGGAGCGGGGAGAGCCCGGAGGGCAGGGTCTCCCACGTGAGCGGCGGCACCGCCAGGGCCACTCGAGGGGGCAGGCAGCTGAGGGACGGAGCGCGGAGGGGTCCAGGCCGAGGACGCAAGGAGGCGGCACCGGTGCGGCCGCGAAGCGACAGGGCAGACGGCGGCGGGCGTGCGGCCGCCTGCGGACGGGCTTCGTAACGAGGACCACGGAGCCCAGCGACCAGACCAGGTGGGGCTCAGGCAGGTGCACCCCAAACACCCAAGTCCGTGGCGCCCTGAGGGGCTGCGGCCCGAGTGCGGAGGCTGGGCTGGAACCAGGGGTCGGGGGGTGTGAGGGGTCAGCACCAGAGCCGCCGGACGGCACACGGGAACCCCCTGCGGTGCCTGCCGCCCACGGGAGCCACGAGGGTGCGGCAAGGAGGACGGAAGTGGCACAAAGGTGCAGGGAAGGCCGCCAGGCGCGGCCAAGGGGCCGGGGGGTCCGAGGAAGAAGTGTCTGCCGCCGGCAGGGCGAGCGGCCCGTAAGGTCATGCCGGCTGCGTCAAGGGTCAAGGTCTTGGCCGGTGGCAGATGCCGGCGCAGACAGGTGCGGGGCAGGAGTCCTGGTTCTCAGCCTGGGTCCCCGGACTGTCTGTCCCCTGACCTCCAGAGTCCCCGGGAGGCTGCGTCCCCCAGTCCCATGTGTGGACCGGGACCCCCTGAGACAAGGCCACTCCGCGGGAGACCCACCTGCGGGTGCCCACCCCCCTCCGAGGGGCCGCAGCCACCCCCAGGAGCGCGGGCCGGGCCGCAGGGCGGTCCCTCGCCGAGGGCTAAAGCCACAGGTCTGCACCCCCCCCCCCGCGTTCCGGGTGAGCACTCGGAGCCCCGCCCACCGCACGCCCGCCTCCCCGCTGCTCTCCGCACCTGCTCTCGCCCCGAGTCCATCCCACTTCCCCCAACAGCCCCGCGCCCCCGCCTGCCCCTTTAACAAAGGTTGCAGGGGCCGGGAGGACGCGGAGCCCTGGCTGGCACGTGCCCAGCCCTCCCCGCCTCGTCCACGGTCCCAGGCTCCCCGTTGAAGGAACGGGCAAACCTGTCTGACCAGCTCGGGCCGAGCCCTGCGCCCGGGCGGTGAGCTCACCGGGGCACAGCTGCAAAGCAACCCCCGCGGACGACACCCGACGCACGGGGAAGGCCCGGGGCGGGGGGCGCAGGCCCAGGACACCGCCCCGCCGCCGCCTCTGGACGGCGGGCACCGCACGCGACGGGCTCCGCATCCGCCGGGGCCTTCAGCTCAGGGCCGCGGACGCGGGGCCCGGGCTGCGTGCGGGCTGCTCACAGGACGCGGACGAGGAAAATCTGAACTTGCAAATCAGATGAATCAACACCGACGTTCCGTCCACAGAAGGTCCGCCTTCCTGCCGCTCTGAAGAACAGCGTCTCCGGGGACATCTGCGACGTGGCACTGCCGCGATCAGCCCACGGTCCCCACGTTTTACGGTGAAAGTCTTCAGACCCACAGGAAGGAGAAGTGTCGCCTCAGCGGGCGTCTGGGTCCCCACAGCCCAGGTTAATGAACGTTTTGCCCTTTTTCTTCAGGTGGTTTTCCAAGCTTACGGTTCTAAAACGATGCAGTTTTAAAAAACTGAATTTTCATGCAATTTTCCAAAACCACATTACAAAACCGCAGCACACGGGAACACCTGGTTCTGCCTTCCTGTTGAAATTATTTTAAGTTCATGGGAACACATTGTTCCGATTGAAATGTCACCCCTGGAGGAAGATCGGCCCCGCGGTCGTGACTTATAAGAGCCGGCCACGGCCGAGGGGACGGCTAAAAACATCTGACTCGGAATCTTGAAAATAGTTCAAGTACCAAATTTCTTCAGAACAGAATCGGAAGGGCAAAGTAACTCTACGTATTGTGTAATGGTGACGTCCCAAAATCAGGCCCACGTTTCCCAAGCCGGTTACGGTGCAGATTCGCTCCGCGAAGGGGCGCCTGCCGGCGCGTCTGTCACGCAAGTCGAGGGGGCTGGTGACACCTTCAGAGCAAAGCCGGCTCAGGGGCCACGCTGCGGGGGACAGGCCCTGCTCTCCCTCGCTGTGCGGGCTTCCCGCCAGGGCCGGGTGGGCGAGCGCGCGCGCACCTGCCTGGAGAGCAGGGAGCCCTGCCGCCCGGGCACCGGGGCTTGGGTCTGGGGCCCGCGCTCCCGGGCGCCGACCGACCGCGGACCCCGGCTGGCACCTGTCACCTGGGAGGGAGCGAGGAGCGAACAGCCTGCAGCCTGAAACCGAGCCACGGGCCGCGCAGCCGCCACCTGCCAGGGGTCCCTGCGGCAACCCCCCGCCAGACCACCTGCAACACCCACTCATCACAGGGAGAAAGGCACACGCCCTGAAGGGCAAACCGGACCTCAGATGCTTCTCTCTGATAAACAGCTTAGTTCCTCCAACTAGAGGAAATCCTACGGGAAAGCAGGGTACTTGAAACGTCACCAGGGCAGCTCAGTTACGAAGACCCCCCCCGCCCCCCGCAGGGCGACCCGCTGCTCCCTCAGGGGGCGCCGTCCGGACAGCAGGTGTTAGGTGGTATCTGCTCGCGCTTTTGTGTTTTCAGGTTATTTTAAAATGAATGCTGTTGGGCCTCATTAGATTATCTGAGAATCTGACCTGACGATACCAAGGATCCTTGAAGGGAGATGCTAAAAACAGCGGTAATTCAACTACCAGACGCGTTCGGAGCAGCCCAGCTGTGTGCTCGCTCGCTCGCGCCCTCCTACGCTGGCCGGGCGGCGCCGCCCACGGCTCTCTCCGCGCCCCGCAGAACCTCCAGCCGCCTTTCCCGCCGGCTTCCTCCCCGAAAGCTGCCCACGCCAGCCGTCTCCGCCCTGGGCCCTGAGAGCAGGCGTGGCTGGAAGCCGCGACCCCCTCGCACCCGGCGCCGGGGCCGCCCAGGGACCTCCCAGCACTGGCCTGGCGGCCGCCTGGCCCCACGGGACCCAGCACACGGGCGATTTGGTCCTCAGGGTGCGGAGGAGGAAAAGGAGCCAGGTCCCGGGTTCAAGGTCAGGACACCGGGCAGGGCAGAGCCTCCCTTAGTCCTTGCCGCCCCTCCCCCGGCTTCCTGAGACTCTCCTCCCTTCAGCCACCGGCAAGCGGCTGGCCCGTCTCCCGCCGCTCGCTCTGCACCTTCTCTGCCCGACTCATCCCGGGGCGGCGGGGGGAGCCCCACCCCCAGGCCCCTCTTCGTACCTGCCCAGCAAGACCTAGTGACGTCCTCTCCTACAGCCACTTGTGCACCGGACACTGCTAACTCCGCCCGCCCGCCTGCCTGCTCACCCCTCTGTGCCGTGGCCCCGGGCACCCGCTCCGGTGCAGGCCTGACCCCTGCGGCCCCTCAGCCCGTCCCACCCTCCTGCGCCACCGCCCGCCCATCCATCACCTGTCCCTAACAGGTGTGACCACACCTTCCTCCACCTGCCTCTGGAGGTTCCCGCCCCGCCCGGTCTCAGCTGCGCTCCGGTGTCACGTCCTCGGGTCGGCCTCCAGCCTGCGGTGAGGCGCCGCATCACGCCTCTGTTCCACAACACGTCTCTCCCATCCCCTCCTCCAGGAAGCCCCCGGCCCCGCGGAGCCGGCCGCCGAGGGCTCTGCCAGTGTGCGGGGGGCTCGCACGGCGGCACCCACTGTCCCTACTTCCAGGGACCCCCTGCTTTCCCTGCCCCCGGGCCCCTGCAGGGTCCGTGTCTGCAGACCAGCGCCCCAGACCCCCGCGCCCCACTCGGAGTGGCTTCCAGCAAACACCTGCTGAACAGGGAGGAGCGCGAGCGAAGCGCTTCAGGTTAGGAAGAGACGGCGGGCGCTCTTTTCGAGGCTAAATTAAACCACTCTCTTCAAGCTCATTTGACTGCATGGCTCTCCCACAGGAGATGCAAAGCAGCATCGAACGGATGGCCTTGCCCTACGGAGGGGAGGCGTTGGGCCCAGCACGCCTCCCGGGGCCACCAGGGCCCGCGCCCAGGCCTCCGCGCCGAGAGAGCGCCAGGCCGGCCTCGCAGCCCCGCCCCAGCCCGAGGCAGCCCGGCCACCGGGGCAGAGTCCGCACTGGCGCCTCTTCCGCTTCCCAGAAGCCTGGTCTGCCTGAAAGCGACACGCCCCGCCAGGGACCTCGTACCAAGTTTCCCATTAAAAACAAACGTGAAAACCACTTACACGGAGGCCGCCCTCCTGGAACCTCAGCCACTCAGCTGGCGACGCAGCCCGGAGGCCCAGCCCGAGGACGGCCGCCTGCCCTGCGGTCACAGCCCAGCCCGCGCGGTCCGCGGGGATTCACGGAAAAAGCCGGGCAACGAAGCCGCCGCCACCGCAGGCCCCCTCGCAGCCCAACAGCCATGAAAGCGATCGCTGACAACTGAGCGAGGCCCAGGGACAAAGGGAGGACCGGTCCTGGCCCCACGCTCCCGGTTCCGGCCGCCCGAGCTCACCTGCCGTGGACGAGCTGCGCCCGCCGGGCAGGGCCCCCCCCCCCCGAATTCCTGTCCCCAGGGACGCCCCCCACGGCACTGACTGACCGCCCGGGGGCACGTCGGAGCGTGAGACTCCAAAACGCTCGTTTGTTTTAAGAGCAATTTTTAAAAAGGTTCAGTAATTAATGGAATGAGGGGTCAGCTATTTAGAAAATGTGCTCAGGTCAACAGGGACGCCCCATGTGGCGACACCCAAGCGAGCGGCTCCACGCATCGCGGCGCACGAGCGACCAAGCGTCCCCCCCCCCCCGGGGACAGGGTGACCCCGCAGCACGGAGCCCGCAGGGCTGGCAGCCAACCCGCAAGGACTTCTGACAGGACTGGGAGACGGAGGCGGGGGTCGCTCCCCGCTTTCTCACCAGTATTTAAACGCAGCTGATGGTGACTGAGGAGGAACCTGAAATGTGTCAAGTCCTGTTAAGTTCAACGTCCATGTCAAATGCTTCCCCCCAAAAATCAGTTTTACAAAAAAAATATATTTGTTGTATCTCTACTCTGCCTGCTTTGCTTAATCCGACCCCTGCTTTGGCAAACTTCAGGCTGACGCGTTTGCATCTCCCCAGCGGATCACCCGGCAAAGCCCGGAGGTTGCGCCCCCTCAGCTGCGCCCGAGGCACCGGGGCACCTCGTCGCGGGGGCGGCCACGCCAACCCTGAGTCTCCCCTGGGACCCTCCAGGGGTGCGGACCCCCCCCCCCCCCCCCGCGCCAGCCCGCCGCTCCCGCAGGAGAAACCGAGTCCGCCGCCTCCCGCTCTGGACACAAACGGGCTGATTAACTATTTACTTCAGCGACACAAAGTCTGGGCTGCGCTCGGGCGCAAGGCTCCCGGCTGAGGCGGGACCCCCGGGAGCGAGCGGCGCCCCCGACAGCGTGCAGGTCCCGGGGAGGAGCACTTGCCACCCGCCCGCGCAGGCCTAGGACGCGCAGTCCGGGGACTTTCTGACACGGAATTGTGAGGAATGAAGAGCGGCAGGCTGGCACGGGGCCGCCTGGCACCGCGTCAGGTCCCCAATAATGAAAAGCTCATTGTACAGGGTGGCGGCCCGGCGTTTCTACCTTGTCTGGTGGCTCCCTGACCACGAGGCTGCGCCTGTTACCCTGCGCACAGCTGGGGCGGGGGGGCGGGGGCGCCCGGGTCGCCCGGGAAACGCCCGCCCCCGGGCGCGTCCCCGCCGCCGACCCCGCGCCCCGCCCGCTCGGGGCCTTGAGGTGCGTCCCCAGCGGTGCAGGTGCGGGTGCAGGTGCGGGGACAGGACCGGCAGCCCTTCCCGGGACTCACTGGGCGACCCCGCCACCGCCCTAACTCGACAAACCTCCATGCCCCGCGGGCTCGGGCGCCAGCCGCCCACACCTGCGTCCCCGACATGGCATCCCAGCCCCCCACCCCGGCCCGGTGTCCTCTCCGGGACGAGGTCTCCGCCGCCGCGCTCACTCGGGACCCGGCGCGGTGGGGGTGGAGGGCCGCGTGCCTCCCGGGACACCGCCCCGCCGTGCGGCCGCGCGGTGGGAGGGGGTGCGACCGGAAAGGTCCCAGGATCTCCCGCCGCCCCCGCCCGGCCGCACCTGCCCTCGGCCCCGCGCCCGCTCACCTCAGCCTCGCTCCTGGCGAAGGGATCCGCGGAGCAGGTGTCGCCGCCTGCGGCCGGTCGTGCCGGGTCGCCGCGGGGAGGGGATCCGGGCTCACGGTCGACGGCGCGGCCCCTCCGCCCCCCTCGCCCCGGCCGCGCGCCCCGCAGGCCCGAGCGCCTCTGCGCCGGCCGGGACCTCAGGCTGCCCGCGCCCCGCTGCTCCGCTCCTCGCAGGGTGGACGCAGCTGGACCCTGGACTACGAACCCCCGACTTCCTCCGAGCGCACGTGCTCCGCCCCAGCCCCCGTCCACCGCTGCTCCTCGGCCGTTGCGCCCCCTGTGCCCCGGACACCTCGCGGCGCGAAGTGCCAGGGCGCCCCCGCTGGAAAGTTGAAACTCAGGCCGACGGTGGGGGAGGGGCGCGAGGAGGGGGCGGGGGCGCCGGGGAGGCGAGTTCGGTCCCGGGAAGGTGACGGGGGCGGAGCGCGGCTCAGCACGCCCGCGGCCGTGCAGAGAGGGGGCGTCGCGCGGGGCGGCGCGGACCCACCTGCGTGCGCGGCGGACTCTCCGCTGGCGCTGCCGTCGGCCCCTCGCCCACGGGCACGGCGCTCCGGGAACTGCGGGACGGGGCGCCGGCCGCGCGCTCCCCCTGCGGCCGCCCCGCTGCGCACGCGCGCCCTCCCTCCGAGCTGCGGTCACCCCGCTGCGCGCTCCCTGCTCCGCGGCTCCGGACAGGTGGGAACCCTCTGCCGCGGCGGCGGGGAGAGCGGAAAGGTTCTCTTGTCTGTGTCGCCACGTGACAGGGAGCGGGGAAAACACTGACCTTCGCCGTCGTTCTCACTGTTAGTGCCGCTGCCCGGTCAGTGAGGGCGGGACCAAAGAGCCTTGGCCCACGGAGACCCTTTCAAGGAAGCAGGCGCTCTCCTCCGCAGACTAACGAAGTGGAATATTGTGAAAACACCGGGAGTATCCTGCCAGCCTGTACCTGACCTAAGGAGGGACGTATTTCTTTTTTAATTGCATTTTAAAAGCCTTAAAGTAACAAACATTAACCGGGCAGGTAACAATCCCACATGACCGCACAGAAGCTTTCATTTCAAAAGCTCTGTTCTCTCACTTGTCAGGCGTCAGCTATAGTTGAGCAACTGCAGGCTATTGTTTTGGTGTTGCAAATGTAAAAAATAATAATAATTAGAAATTAAGCAAGAACTTTAACTCATGAAAATCTTTCTGTAATTGGTGTCACATTCATTTGCGTAAAATTAACTTTGCTTACGCTTCTAGCTCTGATCCCACGACGGCAGGCGTGATCAGTGTGAGTGGGGCGGGGCTCTGCCGCGGGTAAGCTCCCAGGGGGTCTGATCCAACCCCCCCCCCCGCCCCCCCCCCCCCCCGCTGGGCCGTCCTGGGGGGCGGTCTCGCCCCTGGCCTGTGACTTCCCAGTGACAAGTTCCCAGCCAGCCCCGGCCATTGTTCCTGGAGGCGTGGAGGTCACACACCTTGGAAACGCCGGAAGCGATGGCCCTGAACGGCGTGGGGATCTCAGGGGCACACGGCCTTGTTCACCGTCCTGTGAGCCGCTCCGGCCTTGCTTCCTCCCACCTCCATGTAACCCTCCTCCTTCCCTCCTTAACTTCCAACGCAGGAAAGAAAACGCACGATCGTTAGTCTGGGGAGCATTTGAGAGAAAGCTGGCGTATGTTGTGGGCTCGGCCCAGATAAACTCTTGTAAAAGTTCTCTCTCCAGGTTTGGACGTTTCTTACATCGACATTAGCTTATTATAACTACATGTTTTATTCTAAAGCAGCATTTTTTTTCATGATTAGAAAATGTCATCAATGAAATTCACCCCCAAATCCAGTTAGTAATAAGTTAAATCTTTTAAAGTTCCCCAAAGTAGATGGACCCTGTTCAGAGTGAACTGCAGAAAACATGGGGACGTGGGGACGGGCCGCCTGCGCTGCGACCGTCGGCCTTTCGGACCTGGGGGCTCGCTGTGCGGGGCCTCTGCCAGCCAGGAGGGTCAAGGCCAGCGAGGCGCAGGCGGGGCGTGAGGTCGGAGCCCAGGCCCGTCCGCCAGGCCCCACCCGTCTGTCAGGCACCTGTTGCTTCTCACGGCCTGTTCGTGCGTGGCCTGCAATGCCCCAGAGACAAAACTTTATCATAGATGACAACGGCCACACCGTCACTTGTCTGACCTGAGCACATTGGCCGCTCCCGGCGACACCAGCCGCTTCGGAAGGTCTGGCGCCAGGCGGGCACGGCTGCTGGGTCCGCTTTGTGCTTTTCCAGATGCCGGTCCTCGCCCGCATCTTCATGCCCATCGCCTTCCAGGCAGCGCTGCAAACGCGCACTCCCGCCGCCCGGGAGCTGGGCCGCGCTCCCGCAGCAGCTGCGTGGTCCCGGCGCGCTCGTGGACAGCCGCCCGGACGCGCGGGACAGAGCACAGGAGGGAAGGGGGCCGGACCGGCGGCGGGCCAGCACACTCCTGCGGACGCAGCCCTGGGAGGGCCGTCACTGCGGCCCCCGGTCCGCGCGCTGTGGCCGCACGGTGCCGGGGACTGCGTCGCTCCGTGGAGTCACGGCGCACACTCTTCCCGTTCCAGGAACAGTCCCCACCCCGCGCCCGGGCCGTTCTGTCTGGTGTCTCTCTCGACGACGTGGCCTGTGCTTGTTCGTGTCCGTGTCAGGTGCCTGCTGGGGCCTGCGGTCACTGTGCCCACTCACCGCCTGAGCCCACGCTCGTGCCTGGCGCCCCAACACACAGACATGCGCACGGGCATCTGTTGAGAAGACACTGAAAGAACGCCGTAACCGGACATACGAGGGGACGTGTGCCTGCAATGCTCTAAACGAAAGGGAACCCATAAAGCAGTAAGGAAGGACGACTTGCAGGCGGCAGCGCAGGACACGAGAGCAGCTGCGGAAAACAAACAGGAAGGTGATCGGGAGGGTGTGAGGCAGACACTGCGGTAAGGACCCTCGGCAGTGCTGGGAGGCCTCGTCCGTGTGACCAGAATTAGGGAACTGGCGTTGGACACTTTCTCAGGGGACGCTCCCCCTGGGCTCCTGGGGCTCTGGAATCGTCAGCACCGCGCACACCCAGGGCCCTGTGCCGACCACAGGGAGCTGCAGCTGCCCCGGGGCGGAGAGGGGCCCTCCCTCTGCCACCCCCGCAGCGGCCCGGCCCGACGGTGGGCCTCTGGCTCCCGCCATACGCAGCCTGCGGGTCGGCGGTCCCGACCTGGTGCGGGCACTCCTCCGTCTTCCCGCGCTCCCGGCTGCAGCCCGAGGCCACCGCGGCTTGTCCGCGTCCCCAGCAAGGAGGCGAGGGGCGGCTGGCGGCACAGGCGTTCTCCTGAGGCCCCCTTCCCAGAAGCCACCTCTCTCTCTGTCTCTCTGCAGATCCCCCCTCCCGTTGGCCAGTTAGGTCACGGGACCAACCGCCACAGAAGTGCGTCCCAAGAAGGCGCAGGGTCGGGGTGCAAGCTCCCTGCGCACCACGCCTGCGCAGAGACAGAGGGCAGGACCCTGGGAGGGAAACGATGAAGCCTAACGTCACGCGAGGGGCTCCGCACAATCGCGGGGGTACAGCAGGCCCGTGTCATCCTCGATTTCCACCACCGAGTAAAAACACTGCCTGAAAATCCGTCGTGGCTTTACTATTGGGGTCCAAGGCTTCTCTTCGAAGCTGCCAGGAAGACCTTTCACTAGCTGTGACTAGGATCATCACACTTCAACGCCAATGCCTACTCAAGCCACCTAAGTTAATAAAAGATTATTTTAACAAAAATACCCAAACTGAAGCAACCGACTGAGACTTCCCACCGTGCGCTTCCCTTGGGCGCCTGTTCCCTCCCGGGGCAGCCGCAGGCGGGAGGACCCCAGGTGGCCCTGCGGCGTCGCCGCCGGCGCTGCGGCCCAAGGCGGAGGAGCCTGTGCGGAAGCGAGCCTTTTTGTCCCCGGCAGCTGCGCTGCTTGCTGGCAGTGGGTGCCTCTCCAAGCCAAGCCTGGCACATCGGATCCGGTGTGATGGGTGAGGCCGTATTTTAGTCAAAAAATAAAGGCCACTGACAAACGACGTGCCCGTTCCTTGTGGCTTGTCAGCACGTGCTGGACACACCCCCAAAGGGGGAGCCCAGCTCTCCTCGGAGAAATGCAGGCGTCGAAGGTCCGGTTCCGGGCGGCATCGCAAAAACCAGCCTGGACATGCACGGTCGCCTTCAGGTCAAACCCCTGTTTCATGACAGCAGCCTCAAACGCAGGGGACAACAGAGAACACACGTTTTCAAAAACATATTTGAGTGAGATTCTCAATTATTAAACATGCGTTTCCTGAGGGCTCAGGACACAGGGGCATGTGGTACGAGGGGCTGGGCGACGAGAGGCCGAGTGGACGCCGAACGCGCGATGGGCTTGCGAGCTCCCGCCCGGATCCGTTGCCTCGGCTGCGGCGCTGAGCTCACCCCCCGTTACGCGACACATAACTTAAGGGCACTCGGCCATTTAAAACTTTAGGCACCTAATTGTGAGTCTTACTGGCGCTATTTATGGAAATTACCCTGCAGCGGCCTGTGCAAAATGCCGGGTTTAATTTTAACCACATCTGCAAGGAGGGAGGTTAGTCCCCAAAGAAAGGGGTGCCTCGGTCACGGGACGGTGGAGCCCGCGAGGGCGGAGCCCGCCTGTCCCGCGGGGCGGGAGCGAGGCCCAGCGGCCTGGAGAACACGCCGCCGCGGCGTCCGGTGCCTGCTGCTCGCGCGCCTTCCTCTGCGTTAGCGGGACACGTCTGCTGGCAGGTCGCCACTGCCTCTCACCGGCGTTTCCCTGCCTCGCTTCAACGCTCCCATCTCCACGGGACGGTGACACACACATCCCTGCGGGCGTCTCGAAGTCGTGCGCCCTTATCACGAGGACCCTCGGTTCAGGCCTCTCTTCAACTTGCTTCTCTCAGTGCCACGTGGACAGCACGGGCGTGGGACGCCCTGGGAGCCCCCGGACTGCGCCCCCGGGACCGTGCCTTCCGGGCGCTCCCCGGCTAGGCGCCAGGCACCAGCCGCGCACGCTGGCGTCACCCGGCCTGCGGGACGGGTCTCCTCTCGCGGCTACCTCTCTGCTTGCGCGGCT